ATCTTTAACTCGCCTCACGTGCGTCTTAGTATAACTCATTTTCTTAATACTTTATTAGAATTATCTTGTTCTATTTCCACATTTTTGAGTTTAGAGATAAAACAATTAAAAAAACAAAAACATTAGAAGACGGCTTTAAAAAACAACTTTTTAACTTACGTTTTCTCCGCAACCTTTTTAGTTATTAACTTAGGTTTCAATATAATATAAAATTCTGAGGTATATCACACTATTTAACTTTAAAAAGTGGAGATAAAACAAGGTAAATACTACCACGAAAACAAAGAATAAAAAATAACAAAACACAAATTTTTAGAATTAGACAAATGTTACTTCATGCCCGTCATATTGGCTATTAAAACTCCCAAAAGTTTTTTTAAACTGACCTATTTCTGGCCACATCCTAATTCTGGCCAATTTTAAAAGCAATAAAATTTTTATTAAAGAGTGGGATTGCTCTGTTATAAAATAAAAAAATAATATTTTAGCTTAAAAATTTTTAAAATATTCAGCTTAAAATATTCGAAGACTTCCTGATGTTTCAAAATTATACTTAAAATCAGATTTGTTAGTCCTTGACCTTAGCCTCGGCCTTACCTTAAGGCCAAAAATTAAGGCCTTGGCCTTGGTCTTGGCCTTGAAACTGCTGGCCTTGGTCTTGTCCTTGAAAATTTTGGCATTGGCCGTGAATGTTTTTACCATGGCCTTCAAAATAAAATATATAAAATTAAAAAATTAAAAGTTTTCATTCTTTATTTTTAGGTTTTTTTGTTTTCGGTTATTATATATATCTACAAGTATATTTTCTTATTGACTTTATTGAATTCTGCGCATAACCTTAGTTTATTTTTACAATATTTGGTTTTATTGTCACAGCAATTGTTACCTATTGTTTTGTTAATAATTGGCCTTAACTTAAGGCAAAAATTTAAGTCTTTGGTCTTGAAAATGATTGCGTAGGCATTGAAACTCTTATTCTTGGCCTTGACCTTAAAACTCTAGGCCTTGGCCTTGTAACTTTTTGGCCTCGGTCTTGTAACATGTGGCCTTGGCCTTGCTACTTTTGGCCTTGTTAACAACTCTGCTTGAAATATATGATTTATTTTTTGTCTCCGCAAACTCAATGTTTGGTATTTTCAAAGTTTTTATGATTACATTTAAATTCTTAAATTTGTTAAAATTGTATATTGTTAAAACTGTATATGCATTTATGTGTATTTAGTAAGTTGATCAATAATTCTTTTAAATTGTGAATTTCTTTATGCAATCAAAATTAAGCGGCCAAAAATTGGAATTGAAAGTAACTTTATTTAAAAAAACTTTTTCTTGAAGTAATAGGCTTGATTAAAACATATTGTCCTCCGTGTTATAATGTTTTCAGTTGGTGCGTAAAAATATAAAAAATGAAATTATATGATACTTGTGACAGGGGAGGGAATTTTGTTAATAAATTTTAAATAATGAAATTATATGATACGTGTGACAGGGAATTTTGTTAATAAACTTTAAACTTTTTTTAATCTGGAGAATTTTAGTTTAAGGTAAAATAAAAAAATTATTTAGTTTTAATTTTAAATAGTTGTTTAAACATTTCTGTCATAAACCAATATAAACATTTCTGTCATAAACCAATTTGATAATAATTTTTTTTATTCAACTAAACATTTTTCGAATCAAAAATAGTTTAAATTTATATATATTTTATTTATAAATATTATATATTTAACAACTATTAACAATGTTATAAAAAAACTTTATTTAGTTTTTTTTTTTTTTTGAAATGACTATTACCCTAAATATAATTTTATATTGTTAATAGCTTGAAAGTGTTTAGTTTTAGAAGAAAAAAAATCAACCAATAAGATGTTGCAATCAAATTTAAATGATATCTAAAATATTAAACAGCAAAAAACTACAAACTACAAATGGTGGGTGAATAATTTAATTTTTTTCTTTCTTTTTTTTTCTTCTGTTTTATTATTATTTTTTTAAACATTTTTACATTTTTTAGACTTTTTTTGAACTGAACACAAGCAGAGACAAGACATAAGTCAAGGAGTTAAGGTAAATGATTAGGTTTGTCAGGAAAACGAGTCACAATGTCAACTATTCGAGTAAGTTATTGAGAAATGCATAAGTTGTTTGCTTTAGTGCCAGCAGGGTAAGTGGCATTCGAGCCAAGCCATTCAGTACGATAAGCGTTAAAATCACCAATAACAACAATATTGGCAGAGGAGTAAAGAGAGAGGGCATGGTCAATTCGATCAGAAATTACATCTAAAAACCAAGCCAAATATGGGGCTATTACAGTCTTTGCAAATCAAAGGATAGTTGCCATAAACACTGAGATCTGAAGAAGGAATAGCGGAATTTAAATTAGTCTCACTAAGAGCAAACAAGTCTGGTGAACTTTGCAAGAGATAAGATTCAACTGATGATTGCTTCGCAGACTACACACTGATGGTAGGTTGCTTCACAGACCACATATGTTTTTAAAAGGTTTATTAAAACAGCTTAGTGGTGGGTATGGTTTTTTATGTTTAAATTTTTGTGTTTTAATTTTGTTTTTTATGTTTAAATTTTATTTTTTATGTTTACATTATGTTTATATAAAATTATGTTTAAATTATGTTAAATTTTGTTTTTTATGTTTAAATTATGTTTAAGTTTTTATGTTTAAATTTTGTTTTTTATGTTTAAACTTTTGGGTTACTTTTTGGCATAATTTAACTTTAGAGAAAACTTGACTCAATCATAGATTGAGAACGGCCAGCAATGAGCTAATACAATTGTCTCAGTCCTTTTAATTTACTCTAAGTTGTAACATACAGTTACTTATGTTGCCTAAACAATGCGCACCAAAAACAATAATAAGGACACCTCCATGCGCAACATGGCACTCTGGTATTTTGCAGCTGTTGATGGAATCAGCCTCTCTGAGAGCTACCACAGTGTTCGGGAAATCTTTTTATCAGCCGGTCTCAGAATCATTAAACTGGGTTTTTGAGCTGTACCCTCATTAGGAGATAACATTAAAAGCTGCATAGCCACTATCATGGATGGGCAAGCAAAAACCTATGAGTAGAATAAGGAAGATCCAGCATTCATCATCCTAGACAGGAAACAATGTAACACAGGTTTACATCTACGTCAACCTAATAGGTGTTATTAGATTTTATTCATATGTCTTAAAATAACAAATCAGCAAAGTAATCATGATTCCGTTCTAGGTACAAAACGAAGAAATCTACATTTCAAGTTATAATACATTATGATATATAATATAATACAAAATATAATGTAATACATTATTTCAAGTTATATGTTATTTACATGTTTAGTAACTTTGGCTATATGCCGGGTAACTACAGAAAATGAAAAAAACGAACTTTTAATAAAATTGTAAATGAGCATTTTGTCTAAACAAAATTACCATTGACTCATCGCCTATTTTAAAAACAGCCGGAATGGACATGTCTTTACTAATCAGATTTTTAAGCCTGGGATAAACTCCGTTACTTATTATTGTTCAATTACAAAAGTTTTATAAGATAATTTTTCTCATATATTTACAAAATGAGCCTTAATTACTGAGTTATTTTCAAGCATCCGTCATTCGACGTAATTCAACTTATTTCCTTACCTGTTTTTTAAGTTAATAAAAAACAATACTTTCATTAATCTCTATTAGGAATGGCCTCGAATTGCATTTATAAAGGAAATATTTTTGAAAAACTGTTTTAAATTAAAGTTTTATGTTAAATAATTTTTTTAAATAAATTATGTACGTTGAAAGTTATATTTATATTTATTAGATTAATTGGAAAAGAAAAAAAAGTATAACATTTTTATATAATTAAACGCGCTTAATGTTATAACTATCAATTAGTTTATAATTTAGCCTAATTTTTAAAGATATTTTAGAATATCGCTTACATATAATAAAATACTTTAAAATAACTATCAAAATTGACAAAGTTATTTTTATAAAATGTTTGCTTTTAATAAATCGCTAGTTATCGATAAGAATCAAACTAAACAAATAGTTTATACGCGATCACGTGTCGGATATCGTGACTTTGCATCACTTTAGCAAATAGTTTAAATAAACTTGTTACGTCATATCAAGCAACTAGTGTGCATCAAATAAAACATCTTGATTTTAAATTAATTTATTTTTAATTAGATTTTTTGATTCGCGCACATCTTGATTTTAATATTTTTTGGCGTTAATTTTTTTATGTAGCGAACTTTTTTTGCTACATTTTTGGTACTAAGTTTTTTATGTAGCGAACAAATCCAAGATCACAAACTTACTACATGTTGATTGTTGTATTGTAAGTCGAAAGGCACGCTCAGGCGGGTATAACGTAATTAAATTAAAAAAATTGTAGTTCTTTTTATAACTTTGTTCAAATATTTATGAATCGGGAAAGGGTTTGTGACAATTTGTAAAGGATTTTTGTACAAAATTAGGGTCAGGAGAGGCCACAAAGTTGAATTTTATTTAAAACCATTGTAACAGCTAAAAAATCGACTAAAAGATATTTTTTTGACATAAATTTCGTTTAAAAGAAGCATATGCTCGCTGGGAAGTTAAAAAAACCAAAATTTTAAAAATACATTATTTGTTAAACAAAAAATAATTCCAAATTCGTTGTTTACATCAAATAGACACTTTTCAAATATAAAAAGCAACTTAGCATCAATTTTTCATTCTTCCTTTTTTACAAAAGTATTACAATTTCTTTTATCTATTTAAAATCGATTTGTAACTTTTAAATTATTTTGAAAATTAAGTATCGACAATGAACTAATACGTTTATAGTGCAAAGTTCGCTACTCATAACAACAGTTAAAGAGGAATCTGTTAGATGCCATTCCAAAGTCTAAGATTCTAATAGATTCCAAATGTATATTAGTTATTTGTTATACAAACAATAAATCCAGATTTGTTGCTTGTATCAATCAGACACTTTGAAAATAAAGAAAACAACAACTCAACGACACTTATCTTTTTTTTTCCTTTTTATATAAATATTATACAAGTTTTTTTTGTCCATTTAAAAAGTTTTGACATTTTTATTTTATTTTACAATTAAAGTAACAACAAAAAACTAATATGTTCATAGTGCAACTTTTGCTGCTCATAAAAATTTACATGACTTCCAAAAAAGATTCTACTATTAACATAACTGTACTCTTGTGTTTAAAACACACAAAACAATTTACATTTAGCTCTCGTTCTATGTAGCTGTGTTACAAAATACTAAAAACATATCGCACAGTATCTATATATATATATATAAAGTTTTCTGCTGTTGATAATATGTATACATTTTTTTAAATCTGAATTCATTACTGAACTTTCAGATATTTTTAAAACTAAAAAAAAAAAATTAACATCAGCTAAATTTTTAAGTATGCTCAAGTTTAACATTTTTTGTTATGTTTTTAACTTGACGTTTAAATATTCTATTTTAAAAATAATAAAATTAATAACCTAAAAAACGTGATGCAAAACCTCATTTAAGAAGAATTACACACTTGATCAAAACAAGTTAAACTTTAAAACAAAACACAACAAGAAACTAAATAAGATTTTTGATTTACAGAGTTCACCTATTAAGTCGTGCCAACTTTTGTAATTTAGAAGTCATGTTTTGCTTTAAAGTACACAGCAAAAGTACAAAACAAATTTATTAACATAACAAATATCAAACAGAAGTTTAAAAAAAGTTGCAAAACAAAAAGTTAAAAAGTCTATTTGTCATAAAAGAAAATTAACTAAAATTAAGTAAATTAAGACACGTCAATGGGAGTATTATCTTAAGCAGGCAACGGCTTGACAGGACTCATAAGACATGCATTTAATTTGGATTCTATTCCACAAGTCAATATTTTTCTACGCTTAGCTGGAGAAGGTTGTTGAATATCATCTAAACAAATCTTTTGAAGACGATTTAGTTCTTCATTTAAAACATCACACTCTGTCACAGTCTCAAGAGGTTTAGAAAAATCACTAAACCTTTTCATCATTTCTAACTCAAAAGGATTTTCAACAATGGGCGATAATGGTGAACGACGTGAAACATATAAAGATTGTCTTTGAATAAATTTGCGAAGTCTTGGGACACGTGGTTTTTTAATTTGTCCAAAAATAACATTCTTAATAATGTCACGACAAGCAAGCATTTCTTGTAAATCAATCTAGAAAAAAATTTAAATAATTTTAAGATGCTACTACTAATTAATAATTTTAAAATACTTTGAGAAAACATTACAAAAGATCTTTTATAGATTATACTTACTTTAGCACATGCTGCAATTTTCTCAATATATAAAAACCAACGAGAGGTAATCTTTTCTAAAGTACAACTTAACAGAGCCAGTGCTTTTAATGAACTCTAAAATATAAATTTATGGAATTTATTTGCTATTGTTATAAGTTATAGCAATCAGTTGAATAAGCTTAAAGTATATATAATATAATAAGCTAAATTGAAACTTAATGTAGAATAAAAAAAAAATTTCATTAAAAAATACCTTAAATTGAAACAAACTGGTAGCACAAAGACATTGTTGGGCTTGATTAGCGAGATTTCGGTAGATGCTATAAGCTAATGTATCACTACCAAACAAAGTTTTGAAATGCAGAGTGCAAATGAAGCTGAAAAACTTTTTAAAAAAAGAGAAAGGAAAATCAAATAATACAATCAATTTATAATAGATTATTATAAATTGATTGTATTATTCCATTCCAACTTTAGTTTATAATTAATTAGTTAGCAGAGTTATAATCTCAATGTGTTGTATAATATTGTTTAGTTATGTAAAAAAAAAAGTATAATTTTGAATTCTGAAATTACTTTTTTTTTACAATCAAAATAAAAATATAATGCACATTAGATCCACTTTAAGCTTAATAGTCAATTTAGATTGTAAATTTTATAAGTTAAAAAGAAGTAATCCTACAGTTAAGCAACCTAAAATAATTTTATTTTTTGCTTAGGGTTTTAGGGTTTGGAATAAAGTAGCAATCTTTTTTCTTTTATTATTGAACTAATGAAAGAAAAGATTGCTACTCCATGCCAAACTTTCAGTTGATGTAGTTGACTACCTTATAGCCTGCTCCCTTGCAGCAGCAGGCTATAAGATAGTCAATGTATGTGCTGAAGTCAATAAATATTCCTCCATATTCAAAAACTTTCTACTGATGAGAGTGCAAAAAGCAAGAAAAAATATTTTTTAGGCCGCTAAACTGTAGGATTACCAAATAATATAATAATAAAACTATAATACATTTAAATACTGTCAACTCACTATTTCTAAAAATGTACAAATTGTTACATGGTTAACATCCCAATTTGTTTTTTCTAAAATTATTTTTTCCATGCGCTTGATGTCATTTTCTGTAAATTTTCCACCTGTAAAATTAACAAATGTACTGAGAGGAGGAACAAATTCTTCTTCTTCAAGCACTTTTATAGCTATGTAAAATGCTGATAAAGTAGCACATTTCAGGTATTTGCCTTGCAACTTCACAAATCCTTGAAAACTATCTAGTATGTGGACAGCTAAAGCAAATGTTTCACATTGAAAACCACAATTTTCTGTCAGCTTCATTAACCAATAAATATTCTCTTTCCATTCCTCAACATCATGAATGTTTTCCTAAAAAAAAATTACATGTAAATATGTATATATATATATATATATATATATATATATATATATATATATATATATATATATATACATACATACATACATACATACATACATACATACATACATACAAACATACATACATACATACACACCTACATACATAATATAAAACATGTCCATAAAAAAAATATATTACCAGCTTTAAAAACTTCAATACTTTTAAATTTCTTTCTTCTAGAAGCTTCCATTGCAGTAAACGCTCAAGATGAGAAGGATCGCGACAAAGTTTATCAAGCATTATCAGTTTCCTACGGGAATCATCCCTCGGTAATAATGGGAGGTTTGAGGAAACCTTTTCCCAAAATTAAGACAGAAAAACAAATTTCTTTTTCGTCCGAAAGGCAGATGTTTTAGTAAAAAAGAATTTATGGGGTTAAGAAATAAATTTGTTTTGATGAAAAAGCTCAATATAAAAAGTTCTCGCTCTCTTAATTTTTAACATAGGGGATTTTACTTCTTTATAATACTGAGAGTTTAACCACGTAGGTATAAACAATTAATAATTCAACCAATCAGATTCTACAAAAACGCTCTATCAAAGACAAATTCTCCGTGGAGCCTGGTACTAAAACTTTCAAAAATGTGAAGTGACTGTGAAAAAAATTGTGAGGAGAGCAATTTTAGTAACAATACTTTATTTTTCAAAACATTATTTTAAAGAAATGTTTTAAGTACTGATTAATCCCAATATTTAAATAAAATACAAAAAGTTAAATAAAATACAGAAACTAACTTGCTAACACAAATTTTTGAAATGCCGAAAGAGCAAATAAATTAGTGGTAATCAAAAAACTGTTTTTAAAAAAAAAAAAACTTGAAGCCAATAAATGCCAAAAATGCGTACTCTTTATTGAACAAATATTTGACTTCTTTTCAATAAGGAAAACTTCTTTTTCACAGCAAAAAATTTTTAAAAATATAAAATCCTTGTTTTTATAAGTTAAAGGGTTAAAAAAGAAAAGGTTTTAAAAATAAGTAAAAGTTATTTTCATTATTTTATTTTAAAATTCTTCCGACGTACGGAAAAAAGTAAATCGCTTTATTTTCGCTGCATTTTTACGATATCGTGTTAATTAACAGTGTATCGTGCGACCCTTTTAAGCTTTCAATGTCGTTTGACATATTAACTTACAAACCTGTCATTTGATATGCAAACGACCAACATTGTGTGACATTTTAACCTCGTAAACACATACATTTTTAGGTTAATACTTTTTTTTCAATTTAACTTTTTCAAATAAGTCAGATTTGAAATCTTTCATTCTATTAAGTTCTTTTATAGTTGTATCATTTTTTTTTTACTTTTTATTGTTTTATTATTCTTATCTTTTCTGAAAATAGCAACAACAGCAACAAAAATAGTGATTATAAAAGTAAAGCGTCTTTATAATGAAAAATTTGTTTTTTAATTTCAGTATAACTTGATAAAAAAAATTGTTTGTTTTTAAGTTAACTGTTTGACGGATACTAAAAGAAATAATTCTGTTTTTTCGTTTCTGAACTATATTTTTTTATAAAATTATATACGGAACAACTATTATGTGTGTATAAAAAATATCATGATGTGTGTATATAAAATGTAAATAAGTATATAATATATATAATAAATATAAATATATATAAAATTATTTTTAAAAAAGTTTGATTTTTTTTAAAAAAAATTTGACTTTGATAGCTTAGCTCATTTTAGAGTGGCAAAAGTTGTCTAATACTAACTTAGAACCTTATTAGCTTATTATTAACAATTTTTCTAAAATTATCAATTATAAGCATTAAAGGCAAGCTTGCTTTGAAAACAAAAACAGTTTAAAAAGTCAAAGGTTTTTTAAATTTCATAATATATTTAACGCTATAATACTAATATGGCAACAGAACAACAAAAATATGTTAACATGATGTTTGTTAACGTCACGATGCAATTAATAATATGTAGAGTAGGAAGTAAAAAGGCGTTGTGTTTTGTTTATGGTGTGTTATCTGTAAGATATTTAATAAGATTAGTAACGGCGTAATTTTAAAATTCCTTTAATAACTTTTTTATATTTTGTAATTCTTAAATAACTGTGTTATTTTGTCATATTTTTAATCCAAAATCAAAACAGCAAAATATCATGTTTATGATGTTTTGCTGTTTGTAAGTAGCTTTTTTTTTTCCCTCTTTACAGTTACGGAAGTCTCGTAAAGCAATATTTTTTTAGGTAAATAAATTAAAAAAAAATAGAAGCACGCAATTTTTTTCCACTATTTTCGCCAAAATTTTTATACTTTATGGCTGAGCGCTTAATTACAATAGAACTTTTTAATTTTTTTAAATTTGAAATGAAGATCAAAATATATTTCGCAATCGAAGTCAGCTAGATTTAAACGTTAGTAATTGCTTAAAAATATTAGTAAACAAATCGAAAGTATTGTAAAAATTTGATTACAAAATCCACCTCAGACAAACAAATAGGCATAAAGGGTTATATAGAAGCATGTATAAACAAGTGTCTTTTCATAATTTTTTTGTTTATTCAAGTTATGAAACCGTTAAAAATTAACTTAATCGTCAAACAAAGAACGCTACGTTTTTATTTTATTAAAAGAAAAAAAAGAAAGCACAATTTACACCAAATTAAAATGATTGGTTCATCACTCTTTTAACAAAAATAGTTGAATTCTTTTTTATTTACAGACCTATCAAGTCTCCGCCATTTTTTTTTAAATGGTTTTTTGGTCTGATTTGTATTTTTGCTTGTCTGATATGTGTTCTATTAGCATTCCTATCTGCAATGGAGAATGTGTCAATTGAAACAAAAATAAAATTAATATATATCGAACGGCCGAGGTGCACTTATAACTAAAAAATAACACCCACCATCAATCAATTTTCGTGCTTTTAGTCGGCAAATTTGACCCTTTTAGACAAGTCAGTCGGCAAATGTGGACTTTGTTATTTTTATTTTTTTTTTAGGATGATTGCTGCCAATATAAAATTACTTTTGGAATAATATTCTAGATAAAATTTTTTTGATATAGTTCCAATAAATAAAAATGCTATACAGCAAATGATTTTAATTTTAATGAAATGTTTGATTTTTTAAGCATAGTTGCATAAATTAAATATTAAAATAGTTTTATGTTTGTTTTAGCTTATAATGCTAATGTTTAAAGTAAAAAAGTGTTTAGTTCATAAATAGCAAATTTCAATATTTAAAAATATTAACGGAGGCGGATCAAAAAATGCCGATGCTGGAACCATAAATTTAAAAAAATTTGAAGCTGTAGCAGGAGTTGGAGGCAAAAGTTCCGAAAACATATGAACCTGGAACCGTACTTCTTTTTTAGCTCACCAACCCGTGGTATAAACTATTGTTTACAATTAAAACGATTAAACAGTTTCCTTGGTGAGAAATGTTGTTTTAAAACTTTTTTTGTCAAATAGAGTAAACTGTATAATTATCGGCATATGAAACTTAACAGCTTTACTGCTAAAATTTACAAGATAAAATTTGATAATATCGATCCCAGTCCTCATTTATCCCATTGTTGTTGATTTTTAATGTTGATTTTGTTGATTTTTAATGCGCCGACATTTTTAAATTGACATATGATTTTTTACAACCACACGATAGTTGGTATACATTTGGTTCACTAAAATATGGAAAAATTTATTCTTGATTTAGTCGATATAGATCATAAATTAGACGCAGTAATCTGCGTAAACAGTTTATTTATTTTATCATTTTTGATTATAATTAAATCTCATTTATAATTTTAATTAAAATGAAATCTCAAAATAAAATTTAAATACATATAATAATTATATAAATAATAAACAGAAAAGGATTGAAAAAAAGTACAGGCGGCAAAATACCACCCTAATCTTTTCAATGAGCGTTTTCGGATCATAACAAAGTTTGAATATGACATCTTGTGTAAATAAATTATGTAAAAAAATTAGCTCCTATGTTTTAAAGTAATAATTAGTCACAAATGAATAAAGAGAATGTTATCTTTAAATCATTTCAAAGTTAAAAACATTGTGAGAATCATTCCGCAAAATAAAAAATGATGCTTTTTGTTCAAAACTGAAAGTAAATTTAAACATTTAGTCATATTTAACTTATCTTTCTAAAACTTTTATTTTGTCCTTTTAACTTATCTTTCTAAAAACAGTTCTATACTCGGTGTAGTTAAGGCACTTTTAAAATATTCTGCATGATACTTTGTTGACTACAACATATTTCCGTTAAATGGTCTGGTCTGTGAATTATGAAAAGGCGAAAAATATCAAAATGATAAATTTTGCGGTATCATAAAAAATAAATGTTTGTAGCAAAAAAACCCAGACTAAAGATTCTTTTTTTTTTTTTTTTAAATTATCTTAAAATCGCAATTGCTTGTCCAAATTTGAAAAAGATTTTATATTAATACGTTTTTTAGGTGAAATGAACATTATAGTTTAACAATATGATCTATTCTGATCGTTTATTGGCAATTTTCTATAATTATAAGCTCTTTCTTGTTCGAAATTCTAGTATTTTTTCTGAAAATTGATAGAAATATTGTGTTTTGACAACTTTATATAGTTAATATACGTCAGAACCGATTAGAACTTGGATCAGTAGTAAATTAAGGAACTTTTTCAAAAGATTTTAATTAAATTAAAGTTAATGCTGATGAGCGGAATTGATTTAAAGAAGCCAAAATGGTGTTCTTTAGATTCACTGTTACGGGTTCTAAAAAGGTTTTGAAAATTATATTAAAAAAATAAAATTTTCTTTCAATATAATAAAAACCTTAAGTAAAAAAAATTATAATATTTAAAGATCTTGTTTGCACATAATATGTTGACAAAACCATGCTAATTCCAAATAAAAGTATTCGAATATTTTGTAAATCGCCTTAACTACACCGAGTAGCTTAGATCCTCGATAAGTTATACCATTTTCTGTATATTTATTTACTTTTTTAGATAATTTATGTCTTACATTATTCTTACATTATTGTTCTTAAAGAATAGGGGAGACTGGGGCAATACAATATTTTTTAAAACTGTTTATTTCTTATAACTTTTTCTACTTGTTGAATTAATACGTCACTATGAACTAATTTGTTCCCAATGAGCACGATACGTTGAAAAGACGTCTTTTAAATGTCTTTTGAACGTTCAAAAGACATCTTTTTTAGTCCTGTACTCACAGAGTTACCCTTTGTTAAGAGTCACTAAGAACTAAATTTTATCAAACATTACTAAAAACTTTATAAAACGTCACTATGAACTAATTTATTACCCCTTATTAAAGGGTAATAAAATAGTTATTATTGACGTATTGATCCAACATTAATAGATATAATTTAAAAATTAAATTTCCCGCAACGCTGAAAATAAACAA